TATGTATATACCTATATATATATAATTATTTGTTGTACAGTGAAATAAAAATACATCGATTGATGACATGTATGTACTTGACATGTGGTGTTCAAATACAAGTATTTAATTCGAGGACGAAGTATCAACAAGTTTATTATTAATTCTTCTTCTACAGATTAAATTTGTCCTCTTTTTTTACTTTTTATTGTTGTGACTGCTAAGAATCCTTGTTTACACAGATGTAGATAATAGTAGTAAAATTGTTATTGCTTTTATATAGATATTTCAGAAAATTTTGCTTGAGCGTATATCGGTATATCACGCCATTGCGGCACACGGGTTGAAAACCACTGTTATGGAGGGTATAGAGGTATATAGAGGTATATTGTATACATTTATAAAATTACCTACTTGACTTTATTTTGAAAATTATGAAATTATATTATTTTATTGATGATTTAATGTCAAAAATCGTGTATTCACATAATTTTGTTGTTATACATAATTGTGATTGTTTAGAATTAAAAGTGTGAATAAGCAATGGAAGTAATTTTCAAAACATTAATAAAATCCTTAAGCATTGTACTCTAGATATTTAAACAATATTCAAAAAGTGGGTAAAAATATGATTCGTTGGAGAATATAGAAACAACAGAATGTCCTTAAATTTTAAAAACGGATTTAAACATTGATAATCCTATTTTAATTTTATTGAATACAACGAAATAGGTATAAAAATATATTTTTTGTTGTAAAAATCCAAAACTTTATGAAAACAAAGCGAGACTGAGTAATTGGAAGACACACTTAGCTAAATTTTTTCAAGTGTAATTCTAAAATTTCCCAATAGTGTTTAGCCCAATTCTCGAGAAAAATTATCATTATTTACGTTTATCTACATGATAATTTATTGACAATAAATATTATGTATTTTATATAAATTGCAGTTATATTTACATTAGGTAGGTACTTACTAACTAATGTATTTATTTATACATTATGATGCATCATGTTATATAATTATGTGACAATAAAGTGTTATATTTAAATAAATCAATAATAATCAGACCTACTTAGATTGGACAATTTAATAAAATAGTGAATTACAGAGTAGGTACTCACTAATTATTTACCTACTAATAAATAATATTATTGAAACTCTATTATTGATAAAAAAAACCCTTCTTCATTACAGCATTACTATCTATGAATAATGATAATACATAAGTAATAACAAAATATGATCATATTTAATAAATATATAGCTAAGTGCTTCTTATTAAGTATTAACTTATGCAAACATGCAATTCTTGCCCTGTTATTATTATTAATTATGGTATATTTATCAATTTATGTATCATTATATTATTTTATCATATGCACTATATCTGAATGTATGTAGCACTTAAATTATATACAAATAAATAATTATTCACACACCTAACTATTTCAACCATTAAGTCACACTAAAAAATGTTCAGTTGTTTATGTTATAAGGTTGTTAATTAGTGTACAAAATATTATTATTTTAAATTAATGAGCAATGTCCCCCTTGGTCATTCCATTCACCAATCCTCAATTTAACTTATAATAGTCATTTGTATCATTTTAAATTGCATTATTTTTATATTAATTTTTTTTTAGCTATCATTAAAAGTGAAACATTTTCGATATATTAAATAAATATATAAAACAATAGAATTTTAGATCAATATTCAGTAAATCATATTCATTTGAAAATTATCACTAAAATTTTAAGAAAAAAAATTAACAAGATGTAGTATGGGTGTTTGGTACTGGTACTTGAGTTTAACATATTTATAAAAAATAAACAAAAAAATATAAAGTTAATATTAATTAAATATTAAGAACTTTAATAGAACTATTTTAAAATTTAAAATCATAATAATAAATAAGTAGCTAAATTAATATAAAATAAAATTGAATAAACCTAATAGTACCAAAATTCATATTTATGTATGGCAACTGTTAAATGCATGAAAATTTGGCTAAGAGGCGGGTCAATAGGATTATAAAAATGAATAGGAATACATATTATTCAATTTCATTGCCCATTGAGTATTTAGTATCAAATATCAATATTTTTGTTTAACACAAAATAATTCATAATAATACAAACATAATTATCAATAAGCATAGTAACAACTAACATTGCAGAAATCTGATGTTAGTTGCTCAGGTCTGAGTGATGTCATTTTTCTTCTTTTTTTTTCTTTTGAGTTTGTTTTTTAATTGTCTCATCTTCATGCACTATTTTTGTTTATTGAATAACTTATTATTATATTATTATTTAATATATTATTTTTTTAGGTACAGTTTTTACTATTTTTTAATTACATTTATTTTTAGTGATTAAATAACTACATTACCTATAGTATATGGGAATACTACCTAACTAATTATTACTTAAACATTTAAGTAATTAAGTATAAATATTTTGTATATTATGTAAAGAAACAGAAACCAATATTTTGGAAACAACAAAAATAAATATAAAAACCATCAACCGATATAGAGATTGATCATGTAACACAACATTTCAGTGTCAAATCTAAATAACTAGAGTAATGAATTGTAAAATTAAATAGATTTTTTAATTCCTATAAAAATATTTGATAATATTAGTTTTACAATCTTAATTAAAATTTGCAAAACTTGTGGATTTTCATCCCCACTACTAATAGCCCTTCCAGTCAAACTTTCACCCCATTGAGATTAAACAAATCATAAATAAACTAGATCCTAAAATATTCCTGGTCATGATCTAATAACCAACAAATTATAACAGCATCTTTCACAAAAAGCAATACTCTTCAATACCTACATTTATAAGTCCTTAGACTATCTTATTTTTTAACAATATAAATAATATTAGTTTTTCATGTTTATTTTATTTTTATTTCTTCTGGCTATCAAATTTACTTATTGTTTTAATTTAACAGATTATAAATAACATTAAATAAAAAAAAAAAATAAATTAAAAACACCATGTTAATTAATTTACATTACTTTGAATGTTTAGTAAAATAATGTAATATTTCATAGTGTAAAACATAGAATCTAAGTCACTATACTCATAATAACATGAAATAAGATTAAAATATTTTCTCATTTTTTACATATATTATATCAAAATGGCACATTCATTCTTTTTTACTTTACTCATAAAATAATTAGGTAAAAATTTAAGAAATACAGAATAAATTGTATTATTAACATAATTATTTAACCTATAATAAAATTATTATAAATGTAACTCCAAGTACATAAATTATATCTACCTATAGAACTACACATCAGCATTTTTTTTTTATTTGTATTTTACCTGGAAAAAATAAATTATTTAAGTAATATATTAAGCAATTATTAGTAACTACAAAAATAAAATCATTTACTTACCACATTGCCCTTTGAACACCTGCTAATTTGTTATAATCAGCAAGATGTCTGAATACTATTCTACTTAAACGCCATCGTTTGACATTACCCCGAGGACGAGAAGTTACCTGACAACGCTGTACAATTCTAGTGATACTAGCATCTCTTGGACAATTGTAGATTTCTTTGTCAGCAATTTCCTAAAAATGTATAAACTAAAACTATAAAATTACACCATGTATTATTTTTGTTTTAAAATTACTTGAATTTCTAAAGGAATGATATTGTTTTTACGAAGTGCATTATAGCGCAGTTTGTAGACACCATATTCTTTAAGAGTATTTCTTTTTCGTGCATCTTTTTTCATTCTAAAATCTGGCCATTTATTACGAATTTGTTGAATACAAGGAAGTTCACCAAACTAAAATATTTTATTACAATGAATAAAATTTTTTTTTCTGTAGACACTAGGTTTAGTCAATTTTATACTTACACATGTTTTGTTCACTGGTGTTTGAAATTTAGCGATAGCTTTACATCTTTGAAAAGTATTAATTATAAATGCCATTTTTTGTATTACATAAAATCATGAAATAAAAAACTAACTGACAAATAAAAATTGATAATAAATCAAATTTTAGTACAAAATACAAATATGAAACAATAATTATAATACAAATAAGAAAAGTTGCACTTAAAAATAAAATAATATATTACCTATGTAGTGAAAAATATTGGTACTTATCATTAATAAATATATAATTATTATTATGATAATCTATTTTTTGATAATACACTAAGATAGATAACAATATTTTTATTATATCTTATTCGTGCCTCCATGGCTCAAAATAAAGTTTAAACATAACACATAAATACATAATATTACATAAACTTTGGCTTCAAACTTCAAAATATAGTAGTGTATATCACAAAACACTCATAGTGCATAAGTTGATATCCTATAGTCTCACCTTAAGATCTCGGGCAATCAACTAGTTCTTCCTCTAAGATAATATCCAAAAAAAAAAAAAATACAATTAAGTCCTGATGAATTAATTCTGTACAAGTTAAAGACTAAAGAACATGAAATAAATATTATGTATTAATATAATATCTTAAATTGTGGTTCATAGACATATTAATATTAGGGACAACTCATTCCAGATACTGCGCTATTAGTTGCCATTTTTCCAAGTTTCAATATTGTGTCATTATTAGAAACATATTCAATACCTGTGCATATTAATATGATGGGATCTAAAATGTGTGTTATTTTTTTTCTTACAATGTTGAATCCACATATTTCCATATGTCTGTGGTTGACCTTGACACCCAGAATTTCCCAGATCACTCTTTTAAAATTAACTTCTTTATAGGTGTATATTAATTATCAATTTATTATTATGAGTTATGACTTATGAGTTTATGACCATTTCAGTAATATCATCACTAATATCCATTATCCATTATTCATAGACCTATGGTAATATCATTCAAATTTCAATTTTCAAACATTTCAAACCATATCAGCTGTGAAGTTATCAGTTTGTGCTAGAAATAATTATCATTATGGTATTATCACAGAATAAATAAAAATTTATTCTATCTCTGTGGTATTATCTAATTTCTAGTGAGACGTTTAGTTATGAGTGTTCAGTGTTATGACTCATAAACCATCACAACATCACAAATAAAATAAACTAAAAATTAAATTTAGTATTTTAATAGTGTTTATAGTGTTTATACACTTAAGCTGAGTGTTTACTATTCTTAGTATCTAATATTATTTTGTGTTACTTGCAGTAGTATTGATTCTTAAATTGAGCTTTTAATCAAATTAGTTATAATTTTATTATAATTTAAAAGGTATTTTCACAAAGTAAAATGAACCGCATATTCGGGAAATCAAAAGAAAAGGCGCCTCCTCCAGATATGTCTACTGTCATAAAAGGAGTGAGTAAATGCATTTATGATACAATAAAAGATAAATTATGTTACAAGTTGAAAACTCTAAACTCCAGATGTACTCATAATTACATATTCAAAATTATTTATAGGTAGATGATCGCGCTGAATCGATAGAACAAAAAATCAATAGACTTGACAAAGAATTAAAAAAACTGAAAGATCAAATGGCTAAGATGAGAGAAGGTCCAGCTAAGAATTCATTGAAACAAAAAGCATTAAGAGTCTTGAAGCAAAGAAAACAGTAAGCTATGAAATATAATATATATTGTATAAATCACATAATATTTGATTTTATGATATTTCATCTTTGATAGCTAAACTTTTCCCTAGTGTAATCCCTAATAATAGGTAACATTATATAAATATACTAGGCTTTTATACCTTTTATATATTACAAAATTACAATAGTTGCTATAAGAGATGAGTTTTGTTTCCTTTAGCCAGTTGTTCAAACCTACTGTTTTAACTTTACACTATTGATTTTTAATTTTGATCATCTTGTGTAGATTCTTAGAGTAGTAAATATTGGTTTAACAATATATATTTTGTAATAAAAATGCGTTAATCTTAAATATTTCTAATGGTATATGAATTCTAATTAATACTTAAGGGAATTAAAAGTAAAAAATTTACAATAATCAAGTAAAACAATAAAAAGATAGGAAATACAAGTTTCAATAATTTTTTATTTTTATTTTAATTAAAAAATTAATTCCTAGAGATTTAATTTATTTACAAAATATTGATTTAACTATTTTCTAGATATAATACACATTTTTTTTATAAACTCTTGGTATTTGTATACTTTTGAAATTTCCCCAAGGAATGGAATAAGAACTAAAATAGCTCAGCCCCTAAATCTGGATCTGATTAAAATTAAGAGTTTGCATTAAATATTTTTATAAGTACTAATTATTTATTGTTAACAGATATGAAAGTCAAGCTGAGAACTTAAGAAATCAATCTTTCAATATGGAACAAGCTACTTATGCAGTTCAGTCATTGAAAGATACACAATCAACAGTAGTTGCAATGAAAACCGGCATGAAACAAATGAAAAAAGAATTTAAAAACATAAATATAGATGATATTGAGGTAGAATAAAATTATATTTATATTACTAGGTTCAATAAGTATTAATGACATTTCAGAATTAGTTTTAATTGACAAACTTAAAAGACTATCCTACATTTTACCCAAGCTACCTATTACAAATTAACAATCAGACACTATTAATACTAATATTTAGACACTAACATAGTTTTAAACTTTTCTATTTCTTTACATGAAAAAAAATTCAGATATACCAAAGTATCCTATCTGCTATACTTAGATTATAAACTTAGGACATTTATAACAGATTGACAAAACTAGTTTTACTTACTCTGAAGTTAAAATGCACCATTGCTAGTATTGCACAATAATAAATATAAATATTGTACTATGATATATACAATGTACAATGTTTTATATCTAATTTTCTAGTTACATAAGCTATGACTAATTAACTTTAAAGAAGTTTTAAAATTTAAAATATGATTTTTTTTTATTTCAAGTACTTTCCCAAAAATTGTTATTTGACTTAATTTCACTACTTATAGTTTATTTTTTATGCAGTATGACATAAATTAAATTATGTCATTCTTATTAATAGCTAAGTAACATAATACTTAACAATTAATAATTTGATATACTTAATTCTAACTTTTACAACTATGCAAAATTAAAGATTTAGCCTATATTATTGAGAAAAAAATAACATATTACTTAAAATTCTGAGTGTTCATCTATTCAAAAGATTCACTCTATGGAACATTAAATTATTCATAGTTGTTCATTATTAATTGTATAAATTTAATATAGGATCTTCAAGATGAAATGGCTGATATGCTGGATCAATCAAATGAAGTGCAAGAAGCATTAGGAAGGACGTATGGAGTACCAGATATTGATGAAGATGAATTAAATGCAGAACTTGAAGCAATTGGCGATGAATTAGCTTTAGATGATGATACATCTTATCTAGACCAAGTGAATGTTCCTGACAAAGAACCTGGGCAAAAGGAAAAAGAACCTAGTAAACCAGGAGAAATTTCTGTAGATGAATTTGGTTTGCCAAAAATACCAGCACAACTTTAACTGTAAAAATAAAATTACAAATTATATTATTTTTTTACTTTTACCATTATTTTTTTAAGTCTTAAATAAGTATTACCATCTACTATATCACATATATTATAAATTAATTAAATTTGTAATTACAAGTTAAAAATAATAAATACTATTTTAAGGTAATTTTTTCTCATTTAGGTATATAATTAATTATTTATAAAAAAAAATATATTTGTTTTTTAGTACCAATTACAGTAATCTTAAAACAAGTAATAAGATAAAACTTAATTTAAAATTAAAAGCTCAATTCATAGTTTGTTTCAATAGTAGTTACTAAAATTTTAGTTTATCATTAATTTCCTTTAAATAATATTTTACAACTGGTTTGAAGTTTTAATTAATTTTAAAATAAAATGTGTTTTTATACAAATTAATTTCAATAAAACTGATTTTTTAGTATCAATTATACAAAGCTAGTTTATTTTAAGAGACTTATTATTTATAGGCTTATGAATTGCAGCATTTGTTTTTTCCTCTAAATTGGCATAATAAAATGTCTCATTATATTTAAATAAAAAAAATTGTCTATAATTAAATAATATAAAATGTTTAAAATATAATTTTGAATTTTCTCAACAATCAGAAGTTCTAAAATTAGTCTGATAATAATATTATTTATTTATTGATTGGTACAATACTGGACAATATAAATTGTGACCTAACCTAGTTATTAAATGTTATTTTATTTTAAATATCGACTAATAATAATAATAGTTAACTCAATACTACTTACTAGAACTTAAGAATTAAGAGAATGCCACACCCACATGAATTGTTTTCGTCTTACATACATATAACATAGCAAAGTTTTGTTTAGTAGAACATATATGTTAATAGTTTCAATAATAGAGAAAAAAGATAAATCTCTTTTTTAAGCAATATTTTTTATGTTGTATGCGAATAAAACAGATAATACATGCGGGTATGGCGTCCAATTAATATTACATATATGATATAATCCAAATTAATAATAAAAAATAAAATTAGGTCTATGACAAATAATCTTTTTTTAAATTATTATTTTACTAAGCCAAGCTATTTTATTTATTTGAGTATTTAAAATGTGGCATGAAAATAACTTACAAAAATATAAAAAATTTCTAAGTACATTGTTGACAGATATTTTATCAAATTGTATTAAGTAAAATAACTCTTTTGTTACATGAGCCACTTAGTTCAATATGTCTTAGCAGTGTAATTTTTTTAATTATACTTTTTAAGTATTCAACCACCGAATACTTAGTTAAAAATTAAAAAATTGGATAAATACCTAATCAGTCATCCATAATCATGAAGTGATTAGCACTCCTTTGTTAGCACTTAATATGTTTAAATTCTGCATTAAATTAAATTAAATTGTCTTTTAAAGGTGAATTTTAGTCATGTTATTTGATGTCTACCACAGAAATAGGTTTATGTTTTACAATAAGGAAATAGCCACATTTATTAATGATAGTTGTTTTTAAAGAATATGACAAATGGTCTTGCAAATTAAGATGTTGATTTTTAACACATTTGTCCAAATTTTAATAACTAAATTTATTGTTGTACTAATTTTTCATACTTTTTTATGTTAATATAATAACTAATAATGTTGAAAGTATTAAAATAAAATTGGTTTACTCATATTTTATTTTATTTTATGATGTGGGTATATGATGATGTGGAAACAATCTTACATCCATGAATATTTGTGTTTAAACTCGGTTATTTTTAAAATAACAATTATTTAAAAAGTTAGTATTAGTGTATTTCAAATTATTTTAACGCCATCATTAGTAAATAATTGATACTTTATGTATAATATTCAATAAATGCTACTCATTTAAAAAAAAAAAAATAAACAATTAAAAATTTCAATTTACTAATATTTTTATGTTTTAGTAATATAGCTCTCAGAAACTAAATATAATTCAAAATATCTTAAATTTAAAAATATTTACATATATTATAAGTCAATGGATTTTAATAGTAAATTACTAACAATAACTTAACTGATAAAATATTAACCGTATTAACAGGAAAGTAAAAAAAAATTATGTATTGCCTACAGAGGAGAAAAGTCTCAGTCAGTGGAAGGATATCCATACCTCCACAATAGAATAAAACTTGTGGTAAAACAGAAGGCGTTTAAGCTTAAACTTCAACGCCTACATCGTAATGGTTTTTATTAGCTAGGTACTGAAAATTTTTCCAGACTACGATCTAAATATTTTAATAATGTAATGAAGGTCTCTATAATAACAAGGAAGTTGAAAGAAAACTTCCTTGATGACAATTATATAGCCGAGTTCCAGTTGAACGATGGTATTTTGTATAAAGTTTACTAAATTATCAATATTAAAGTCGTTTTTAAATGAACTTTTGTGTCAGTTTTTTTTAGAAATTGTGAAACCAATCTTTTTTTTATCAATTAAATATTGAGGTAAAATAATTGCAAAAATTTGTTTATTAGGAAATTGATAGACTACAGAAAGCAAAACTAATGAATGATCTGTAATGGATCTATACACTGACTCACATCCCGTCACAAAATGCCGGACATTTTAAATACCTATAATATGTTATATAGGTGGTCTGGCAGCGTATCGCAAAATCCCAAATGGTCTTCTAACGACCTATACAAACTCAAAGGTCTCAAAGTAAAAATATTGTGAAAACAAAATATTCAAGCATATTATCGACGTCAGCTATTACTGTCGATTGTCGGTTTTGGACATGAATATTTCACGATTCATAAAAAAATATAGATACATCATATTCGTTATTTGTTTACATATAATTAACGTTAAATTTTATGTTATTGTTTATTATAATTTATTATCAGGATTATAGAATAATATTTGTTATTGTGGTAAATGGCTTAATGATTTACGGACTGCCATTTAAGGTATGAATTATTGCGATAAATAAATGATAAAAGTTTTAGTCAAGTTCAGTTCCATTACTTTCACCAGTCATGGAAAATGCAACGTTTTTAAATATTAAGACATTAAACATTTACAAACAGTGATGAACAGCGTTATTTTGTAAAATAAAATAATAAACACACGAAGTTATTTCGAGTGTGTTTTCTTTTAGGATCATTTCTGGTGAAAAACTGTCATTTAATCCCGATGGACAAGAAATAAGAATTGACAAATGACAATGTTTGAATTTTTTTCTTTTTGACCTTGAAAAATATAAATCCGAAACGTTACGGAATTTCGTTGCCAACATAACCGGTGTCAACACACGAGGCCGATAATAATAATTGACAGGAGTATCCGTGTGCTGGACGTATGTTCGGGGGTACTTGCTGTTTAGCTAGTCGCTATTCATGCATCGTGCAGTTGTGCAGTAGCAGAACTCACTACTCACAAGATAGTTGTCACTTGTCAGTAGTCTGCACACTGCACAGTGCACTCGCGTTTCGTTATCGCAGACGACAATAGTATAGTACTCGTCTAATCACCTCTTACATTCTGTAGTGGCGCAGGGTTTATACCATTCATTAAACACTAGTACACTACACGTACTTGGCCACTCGTATGTTCGTTGTTGACGTCGTTTTCGGTACCTTTCTATCAAAAATTCTTTCGCCGAGAAGACCATTGCTCCTTGTTCAATCGAACGTCGACCGTCCAGGGACGTGTATTTCCACCCGGTACTTGGTGTTCGGACCGATTTCCTCGCGCAGGTAAAGGATAAGTCGTTATTAGCATTTTTAATCGTTGGTTCAACAATCGTTTTAAAGTCTAACTGGAAGTAGTTGGACGACCAGTTTAAATATCGTATAGTTCAGTGTCCCTTGTGTAATGTTGTGTCTGTCGTCGGCTTGTTTTCTACAACGTTATCGCTCTATATAGAATGGTTTGTTTACATAACATCTAGTCTGAATAGTCTGATATATTTTTTATTCTATCAATTAGTTTTGTTCTAGGCATTTATATAAATCAGAATTAGGACTGGTTTGTCATCAGTTGATAAACATATTTTTCTACGATGTCTATCATTATTTTTATCAATCAGCATTGTTTGTCAGATCAGTGTAATACTATGTTTATACTCACCATTAATATTATGAAGGTATTATTTCCAATAATTTTTATATTCTAATTTCTAATACAATTTTTCGTTTTCATGTTTACTAATATTAAATATTATAGGTATTATTGTTTTAATTTTATAATGTATTACCCATTTTGTTTTGGGTAGGTGTCCAATGTTTAATTATAAGCATTACTTACCATTATATTATTAATAATCAATTTTTAGGTACATGTTTTTTAGATGTACTGCCAGTTTGCATGTGTTAAATTTTTTCTTTAGATTTTATTTTATTTCTGATAAAAAAGTTTTTTATTGTGTTCAACACAAATATTTATTAAAATGATAATTGATATTGCATTTATGACACTCCAATAAATAAATAGGTATAAGCCCAGGTACAAGTAACTTTAAAAAAGATTTAATTTATCAACAATGATATACTACTCTTAATAGAGTTAAGCACATAGTAAAATTCTAATTAAAATTGTTGTTTATCTGTATTAAATGTAAGTATTTACATATTCACAAGGTATTTGTAGTAACTTTTAATGAGCTTTGTATACACTTATATTAAATATGAGCATGACTGACTTCAATTATTGTTTTCATTACCTTGGTAGTTGATACCTGTATTATTTTATTTTGTTTTACATAATATATTCAACCATAGTATATAATAATGTCTAATTCTTTATAAACTTCTTAAGTAGTTCTTGTATTAAATCTCTAAACAAATGTTTGGTTATAAATTGTTATCATATTGATTTCATCCAATTGAATGATAAACTTAAAAGTAATATAAGTTATAAGAAATTCATACTTAGCTTACATTATCTGATATTTTATTTAAAGTAGATTCAATAAAATTTAATCCTATATCGAGTTCTATAATAATAATAATTTTTTTTTGTATTATGCTTAAATGCTGTTTATTTTTCATAATATGTGTGTTGGTATTTCATCAAATCTAATTAAAA